TAAGGTTGTCGATACCCGCACCCATTCTGGCATGGCTGCACCTCAAACGTATATTTTAGACCCAGGATTCGACAACGAACGTCTGCACGAGCCTTCTAACGAACACAATCGATAAGGTAGATGCATACTACGGGAAAGGGGGAAATGGTGGGAGAGTGGCTGAAAGGAAAGAAAACGGTAGCAACGCGTTGGCAATGAAAATAAATGGAAATAATTGGGGGTTTGGTAGATTTCAATAAATTCGGTTGACCCAATTGTGCAAAACTCGTGGCCTCGGTGAGAGTCGAACCCACACAGCAGCGAAGGCTTTTGTACAGCCAACGCTGTACCATTGGGCTACGAGGCTCACCGTGAGCCGTGAATTTAATCACACCGAGGCCGCGAGTTCTGCACAATTGGGTCAACTGAAATTATTGAAATCTGCCAAACTCCTAATAAGTAGTCCAACCGGTGGATCCTAAATGATTACGTAGGAAATCCTGCCTTGACAGTCAACTTATTGTATCCGTACTGGTGGATTCCATACGAGCAGTAAGTTGGGCATGTAAATCGACCCAAATGTGATTCAATTCACGGCTCATGGTGGGCTTCGTAGCTCAACGGTAGGGCATTTTGGCATTTGGCATTTGGCTGCGCAAAAGCCTTCCCTGTTGTATGGGTTCGACTTCCACCGAGGCCGCGACTTATTCAAAATTTGGTCAACTGAAATAAATGTAAATGCCCACCGTGATCGTCTTGCTTTAGCACTAAATTGGACCGTACAACACGACTGTATACGCACTATCCTTACCATAACCCTATCTGTTGAAATAAGTGTGTTTCAGGAAGCCATTCAGAAGTAGGAGATGCGATACCGCGTGGCCGCTAAGGACTACAAATACTGCGAATCTGGGACTTTTTCATCTTTTTCTGTGGTTATCTCTGGGGATGGGTTGAAGCCAGAATCTGCAACTTCAGGCCAATAAACTTGTTGTTCTAGCAATCGCCTCTCCTACTTCTTATCCATTGCGTCCGTTAAGCTGAGTGTTTTTGGGTGATTAATATGCTTGCAGGTCGTAAAGTAGTTTGTTGTCGGGGTTGCTATTGTTATACTTCCGGTTTCCACCGTAAAAACCGTAAAACTCGAAACAAAAATACCAGCAGTGGGAATCTGACGCCAGCAAATAAAGTACGAATTCTCTTCGACACTTTGAACGCACATTCGGTAACCGGAACATTCTGCTTTGAATGCCTATGTGTTAACCTCAAACCAAACTATTACCAGTCTTGTCACCTTTACACGGGTATGTCTATTCTGCCGTAATGAAGTAAGGAACACTGCAAGACTCACATTGAGTGTAATGACATACATACATGCATTTCATTCTCTTCGTCAAGGTTGTAACCCTAACGGTAGGAAGACAAATTTTGCTGACTTCTGCAAGGTAACTCTAGTCAATGCATTTGAGGCTAAAGATAGGAGGATGGCGAACATTGTCTATTCATTGTTTTATATTAATATTTCTACGTAAAATAAGGTAATTTACAGTTTGTCCAAAATCCCCTTAAGGTCCACTGGTTTCGTTTTCAGAGGAAGCCTTTATGGCCTGCCCGTGTTCAGCTATGCCAAATGTTTTGAAAAGGTTTAAAAGTGAATTCCCTTGTGTATGAGTAGCTTTGATAGTATATACCGATCACAAAGTCGTAAAACACAGTCCTCTTGCTTTTATCTCTCCCTACGGACTACGTAACGTTTCAGGCGACACCATTGTTGGGGGAATGGAATTGGTCCGTATAGTCAGAATAATCGGTTTGAAACATGTTGTTGTTATCTGGTGTCATTTAAGCAAATAAAAGAGGCAATGCAGTTCATAAAATGGCTAAGGGTGGGGTAAGACTAGGATTAATGCCAGTTCTAGGTTTAGGACTCGGAGTTGTTTACCCTGACTGGAATTCAACTCACGGCCACTTGCATTTCGTGGGTAGGCGTGGAGAAGCTTTGCTTTTCAACTGAATTTCGGTCGCGGTTGAGGATACTGTGGTAGCCGTTTGCTATATTTTTATTTACACGCAACCTTTTATAGTTATTACATCTATTAGGCATTTCACAAAATCACAACTATTCATGTTTGTTTTAGTTACGTAGTACCCGTCTAACTGGTGTAAGTTGCGGTATCATTAACAGCCTTTTTATCTACCCATTTCGTTTTCCATTGGCGGAGTCGACAGTGAAGTCCATTATAACATGGCAGACATGCTTAGCTAAGTTTGACTTGCTATTAGCGTGGGATCGCAGTATCGATCGTTTTGACCTGCTAAACATTTTTTAAGAATTCGTACAATGTACGACATCAAATCAACCGTTTGTGGCAAAGATAAATTCATTTGATTTCACGGAGTTGGACTGCACAGAAGCACAACTTTATTATAGCTATTTGATTCGAGTTGAATTATGACTAAAATGGGGATACAAGTAGCAGATGCGGCAATAAGCATACCTCTGTGTCTATACTAAAAGTTTCTTGTAAAATAGTTCGTTGTGCCCTCGGGTGATGATGAAGTCCACTGACTATAAAGGTATCTTTGAAATACCACCAAATACGTTTGCTTTTCTCTGATAATAATCTATTTTTTTTAAAAAAAGTCGCTTCGATAGTTTGTTGTAGTCACACCTTTTAAAATAAGACCGGTCTGGAAAACTTTTAGTGGTGTACTAACTTCCTGTACATTCTCAGTTAGGTAGATGGCGGTTTGGATAAATATAGCATCATATAGGTGACGAAACTCCAAGATACACATGGACATTATAAAATAAACCATCTTGCCCAATAAATGCTTGCTTAAAAAATTACATTACTTAGGTATCTCGCACGCCCCAGCGTAAACTTAGGGAAAAAGTTAACATTTTGCGTGATTATATACAGGTACTGACAAGCTTTTCATAACAACTGAAATCTATTCTGCTTACATTGATTCAAAGGAGCCTTTTGTGACCTTTACTTAATTTGAGGTTCCGTTCCGAGAATGCCACCGAAATAGATACTCTTCCGCATAAGAGGTGGACTTGCGGTACAGTCCAGGGGAATTAATTCCCTTGTTCTAACCTAAAATGAAGACTTGATAGACAATAAACCAAAGGCTTTTTTTAAACCACGGACTAAACAGTTCAAACGACCAGCTAATGACGGAACTTTTCACGGCTATTCCAAGAAATTTCCCCTAGGACTTTCGCGTCTGAATTTTTGAAGAGGAAAACAATTGTGCCTTTCTGGACACAAAGTGCGTATTCAGAGCTTGCCCCACATAATCTGCACAGAAAAACAAGCATATCTCAAGTTAGTAGGGTTTTTTTGGTTTATGGTTGCTGCTAGATAAATACGCGTAGTTGCGCAGATGGGATCCAGGGCAGTTATTAGCATAGACAACTTCCCGATTCCAGGGTAGGAGCGAATTCCACTTCACACAATAATTCTTTTCGTTAATAAAACGACGTAGGAACTCACTCGGCAAGAGAGGAAGGCTATGTGCCCGATGAATCGAGCTACTACTTCAAATACACAAGGTCCGATGCATTTCGTGATAGCCCTATGCATTTTAATTTCCCCATAAAAGTAATTGCAAACTTGTAATAAATCAGTTTATTCTACGGTCAGTAGGTGCAATCCAATATATACTACAAGCTTACTGTTGGCGGATTAATGAATATTACACGGTTATCCCGCTGTGGCAAATGTAACTTAAAAAGCGATAATTTCAACAAACTAGAATA